AGCGCTTATTTAAATTATTTATCCTGAACTTAAAAAATAGCTTTTTCAATTTATTGGAACAAGCGGACGGCTTCGTAAGTCCACATTTTTCTGCAAATTACACAGCTTGGCTTAATCATTATTAATTTTTTAATCACAAATAAATTATATAGTATTTTTCCACAAAAATTCAAACGAAAAGTTTAAGTTTAAAAAAAATTGTCCACAAAAATTCAAACGGAAATTTAAAAAAAAGCAATGTTGCAAGCAAATAATAAATGGCCAAATTGCCCCCAAAATATATGTAAATACTTCCAAAGAAGCAACACATAAAACGTTCAACGAATAAAGGTAAATTGTGAAATATAAGGCAGCCGAATGTCAGAAAATAAACAGAGAATGCTGCCTTATTACTTCACCTGTTTATTGCGCCATGTTCTATATAGCACTGAATTTTTCAAATAAGACTGGATCACAAATTTTAGTTTGGTTTTTGTTCTCCAGACGCCACTATCCAATTTCTATGTAGAATTACTCGGTGATTCGGAAAATCTGGTTAATTTTTTTCTATGGTTACATTTTCGAGATAATTGCAATTTACCGTTATTTAGTTTAAAGCAAAAATTGGTTCCTTTTAATCACGTATATCTTACGAACCAACTTAAAAATCTTAACATAAAATACGGCAAATGAAAGCTAATGAAATTTTCCATAAGCCGTATATACATACGGTGACCATCCGTTCTGTTTTTTGCAGGACCGTACTGTTATTTAAAGGTCTGTCCTGCGTAGTTTTTCAAAACAGAAAACCCCCAAAATGTATTGATTTTTTCCAAGTGTCCTGCCTTTGTCCCGCATTTTCTTCGATGTTTTAAAATTAACTTTTCCTAATCGAAATAAAAGCAGTGTCGATAACTAATTGATAACTACATAAGGGTAAGCTGGTTTTGAAGGTTCAACTAGTCAATGCGTCCTAAATATTGTACGGTTATGGACAATGGATGACGAGAAATTGAAGACCGGCATCAAATATATCGATAACACTGTTCTACAAGTTTTTTGGTAATCGCTTAAGAAAAAAAAATATATTCCAAGCCAATTTTCTTTTCAAACAAGCGTTTTCGTAATTTTTTCGAAAAACGTGTTTTTGGTACATTTCGGACCTATTCGTCAATATCTCAATCAACATAAGCGACCTACAGTCCCCTTACAAAAATATATTACTTTGCCGATTTCGATGAAAATTATTAGTGTTACAAGCGATCAAAACAGAAAAATTGAAATTTCAATCATTTTCTTTTTACAGTAAATGAAAATCTGATGAGAAATGTAGATGTTACGGAACACAATCTGCACAAAAAATATATATTTTTGCAAAGAGCCCATCAATACCTTTCGAACTGTTGGTCGTTTCATGAGATATTGAGGAATAACTGAAAAAGTACTAAAAATACGTTTTTCGAACAAATCTCGAAAACACTTCTTTGAAACCATGGGTATTTTTTTTTTGTGTTCAACGACCCAAAGTTTGCCTAAAAAATTTGCTTTACAGAGGTTCATATTTCGTGTAAAGTATAATGTAATATGCCTTACTATAATTTTGTAAATATTCATTACTAAAAGATTAATACCAATGAAGCAAATGTGATTTATGTTTAAAGTTTAAAATTGGAATTGGAATTTGAATAGCACATCCTTTTAATACTTAGTAGGTACAGTTTTCCTTTTGTTTGTTTAATATTCATTAACTTTTTATAAAAATACAGCATATTCTACGTCTACATCCCATTTAAAAAATTTTTGAAAATTAAAAAAAAATAAACATAGGGGCGACAATTTTTTTGGTTGACGGTGTTGCACATTTTCTTCCATATAAAAATTTTGTCAAGCATACTTTGTATGGTAGAAAATCAAAAAAGGGGTGCGCTATTCAAATGACGAGGAATGTATATATGTNATACTTTGTATGGTAGAAAATCAAAAAAGGGGTGCGCTATTCAAATGACGAGGAATGTATATACATATGTAGTATATTTTTGTAATTTTTATACTACGCAATTATATGTAGGTAAATTTTTTGAAAAATTGTCCTGTATTTTCAAAATATGTTTATGGTCACCGTATATATACATCACTTTCCGATAGGACTGATAGTTTCTGACAAACTAATTAATCATTAGTTTTTTTTATTTTTTAATGAAAAAATTAAAAAAATATCAAACTGTAACAGAAGAAAAATTAAAATAATAACAGGTTCTGTGCCAAATTTTTGCATTTGTACTAAAGACTGTTCTGTTACAAAAAAGTCAAGTTACTGATGAAGGAAATCGATGGAGAAATACGAAATAATGAGTGGTCGAATGAAAATGCGCAAAGATTTTTTGTATGAAATATGAGCAGAAAAGCGTGTTACTCAGGTGTACGTGGCGTATGAGTAACTTGCTTTCCTGCTCATTTGTCGTACAAAAATCTTTGCGTATTTTCATTTGACCACTCATAATTTCTTATTTATCCATCATATTCTTCATTAGTAATTGGAATTGTTTTTTTTGGAAAAGAAAAGGCTTTAGTACAAATACAAAAATTTGGCACAGAACCTGTCATTTTTTAAATTTTTCTTCTGTTAAAATCAATTTTTTTTAATTTTTTCATTAAAAAATAAAAAAAGCTGGAATGATTAATTAATTTGTTAGATAATATAAGCCCTATCTTAAAGTGATGTATATACGGTTTATGGAGAATATTATTAGCTTTCATTTGTCGTATTTTATATTAAGATTTTCAAATTGGTTCGTAAGATATACGTGATTAAAAGGAACCAATTTTTGCTTTAAGCTGAATAACGGTAAATTGAAAATATCTTGAAAACGTATCCATAGAAAAAAAATTAACTCGATTTTCGGAATGACCTAGCAATTCTACATAGGAGTTGGATAGTGACATCCACAAAACATTTTTGCTGTAAACCAGTGCAATTTTTGGAGCTAATCAAATTTTTTAAATTTCAAGCCCCTTAAGAAAATCCTGACGCCAAAGAAAGAAACTAAGAGGCTAACCTCATATTCACGCACGCCGCCAATTTACTGTCAAAAATGTCTCATGCACATTCAACTTGTATGGGACCAACCGAAATTGAACGGTGTGCATATGAAGCTAACTCAATTTCCAATTTTTGTTCTGCNCCAACCGAAATTGAACCGTGTGCATATGAAGCTAACTCAATTTCCAATTTTTGTTCTGCGTGACATTTTGATTTAACGTTTCGCTCAATGAAATCAAATGCAAACGCACGTCAGTGTTGCCACAAAAAAATTACCAAATTCCTCAAAAACAAACGAAAAATTCTCAAAATCCGAACAAATTACTCAAAATTTTCTTATTACAGATATGAGTATTGTGTACTGCATTCTATTTACAGGTACTTAGTACAAAAATTAATTACATTCTCCAATTCAATTGGTACATTTGTTCTTGCGGTTCAAACAAAGTATCACCGTTATTTTGTATGCCTTGGTTTGTATATACTATTGCTGCAACCATATCAGTGCTCAATGTGGTTCTCAAGTCAGTCGTACACATTTTTAAACTACTAAATATACGTTCTACTGAAGCATTAGAAAAGGGCCATATTATTAATGCAGATTTAATTTTTTTAATTGGGAAACTTATATGAACCTGAAGAAACTTTTTAATTCAAAACCTTTTCCTACAATTTTCTGGATCTAATGAGGAATCAATATGNTATTATTAATGTAGATTTAATTTTTTTAATTGGGAAACTTATATGAACCTGAAGAAACTTTTTAATTCAAAACCTTTTCCTACAATTTTCTGGATCTAATGAGGAATCAATATGAGTATCCTTATGATCGAACAATGCGTGTTCTCTCCATTCCTTACCGGACATTTTGCAAGTTTAAAATAACTTGAAAATATAACAATGGAATGAAAAAAAATTATTGATAACATTTTGAATATTTAGCAGCAAATGCAGATGTGCTTAAGAGCGAAAAACACCACACAAGTGGCTTGACAAACCAAGCGAAATATCCCTTTCCTTAAAGCTATTTATGTTGTGTATGGGGCCGTTTGAAGGTTTGACGGCTTGTTTGAGGAAAATGTGAACAAAAATCAAAATTTTTTGATTTTCTGGCCGCCATGTTGAAGTTTGATCAAATCGCTTACGTTGTGTATGATAAAATCGCCTCATTCGCAACGGAATGAGGACGCGAGAGAAAAATCGAAGAAAACCAAACCCTTTTACATTGTGAACCGGAAGAAAACTAAAATTCTTTGCTAGAACGAGTCATGTTTGCATTGTGTATGGCGAAATGGGAAAAGTAGGTTTGAAGAATGTTTGACAAGCCACTTGTGTGGTGTATTTTGCTCTTTATAAAACTTCGGAAAGCTTTTTGTCAAAAATTTGCAGAGCGATGTAACANCAAAAATTTGAAGAGCGATGTAACAACTCTCTTGTGTAAAATATTGCTGCATTTTTTATCTGCAAATATATCGAGAGAAAATTCCTCAAAATAAAAATCCTCAAAAAATACTCAAGCGCACCCGAAACTTTCCTCACGTTTTGAGGAATTACTCACAAAGTGGCAACACTGACGCACGCAAGCTAAATTCGGGTGACGCAAAAATAACAAATTCGACTGCAAAACGCAAGCTGCGAAGATTAGGTTAACCTGTAAAAACGCAGTTTTACTACATGTAGCTCTTAGTTTTTGGAATATGTATATTTTTGTGCAAAATTGATTTTTGCTCGGTGTACTCCATGTTTATCATTTACTTGATTTTTTGAGTGACTTATGTCACTGTCAAAATAAACATTTTCGTTATACCGCTGATTAATAAAACTTTTCACGAACAAGACCTCAGTAGTTCTCAACATTTGAGTGCACATTTTTTTTTAATTAACAGATACCGTTAAATTCTAATTGGTGTTATCATTAACTCGTTTTTTTTTGGAAAAGGTCACTTATGCCACTTTCAAAATAAACGGCTCATGTACTAACCTTATATCATTAACACCATTATGGTGCAAATTGAGTTCAAAAAGTACTGGTAATTTTCCAAAAGCACTTTTCTCCAAACTTGTTAGGTTGTTTTCCTAAAAAAAAAACGGTGAGAATTTAATATCAGTGCAAAACGACGGATGTTCCTTAAAAACATGTACATATATTATTTACCTCAAGGTGCAAATACTGAAGTGTTGACATACCGGCCAGGCATTCGATGGGTGGCTGACTGATGTTATTTTTGTTAAGGTACAATTTTTGCAGCACCAGCAGACCTGTGAAGCTTTGTGCAGTTAAGGAATCTCCAATTTGATTGTCATTTAGGTTTAGGAACAGCAACGAATTCATAACCGGCCATGTACCTGCTGGTATTCCTGTTAAGTGATTCCTTTCTAAATTCAAGTCATTTAGGGAAATTGGAATTTGAAATAGCTTTTCTAACTGATTATTGCTGAGATCCAAAAAACGTAGACTTGTAAGTTTAGCCAGTGCTCCTCGCACAATAGATGTCAACTTATTATGACTGAGATTCATATCGAGCAAAGTGGGGAGTGTACCAAAAACTGAGGACTTAATTTCGGTTAGACTATTATGGCTAAGATTTAAAAAGCGTAGGGAAAAGAGTGTCTGAAAGACGCCATTGGCAATCAGCGAAATGTTGTTGTGCGAAATATCAATAGTGTGTAATTCGTATAGCTTTGGAAAACAGTTCTTTGGCACCTCTGCTATGTAGTTGTGCGACGCATTTATAACTTTGATTCCCGTCATATTTTGAAAGGGTATCTGAAAAGTATGAAATTAAAATGGTTTATTAAAAATATCACAATTATTTGATAGTCTTTCACCTGCGCTAAATTTGTGAGAAAATTGTAGCTCAACTGAAAATCGGTAGCGAAAGTCGTAATATCAAATGCATTGCGCGAAAAGTTTGCTAGTCTATTGAACGACAAGTCCAAAACTGTGATGTTTACGCAATTCTCAAATGCGTACTGTTCTATTTTTTCCAAAGAGTTGTGTGAAATATTAATAGTCGCTTGGTATATGTCCTTAAAGGAATGCTTTTCAACCACTGTTATATTATTTTCAGCCAAATCAATTAACTAAAAGATAAGAGTGATTATACATATACGCTATACTTTGTTATCTTTTTAATTTTACACTTTTACCTCGACATAATTGAGTTGAGAAAACATTTGAAAATCAACTTTCTTTAAAAAGTTCCTAGCTAAATCAATTGTACCGATTTTTCCGATAGAGCCAAAAGTTCCTCTGCCGACATCAATAATTTTGTTATCGCTCAAAAAGAGACGCCTGTAAAGTGTTTAAAAGTAAAAAAAATTAACTGGTATTATTCCTAGATATTATCCTTAGCTTTTAAGTACGTATATGTAAAATTCCTTAGCCTTTATTGGATCTAAATGTACAGCGTGGCGACGAATAACTGTTACCCAGGTTTTTTTGAGAAATAGAAGAGTCCTTTATAGATTTTGCGAAAAAAGTATGTTATTGATAATTTTCCACAGATTTTACTTTAGTTGTATTAATTAGTTTCTAAATTTTAATCCTTATTTACATTTGCCAGCAGTGTAAACTTTGAGAAAAAAGTTCATTTGGCACGCAGGTCCTCGTCAGTTAATTTGTTCCATATCTTCTGTAACCATAGGCTAATTTTCTCCATTTTGAGTCCCTTATACTC